GATTTGACGGGTCTTGACTGTGGGGAATTACCCGACCCAGCGACATGATCTTAGCAACTTGCATGTAATGGCAAGTGACTTGGGCTCGTACATATGCAGGGTGAGTGGCCATGAGACTGAAGCTACAAACACGAGAAGTCACACTCGGCCGATGCCTGTCCAACTTGCCTATCGCCTCCACGTGCTGCACGACGGCCTCGAAAAGTATCAAGAGAAAGAAGACATGGAAGACTGCGTGAAGGGCCCTACGTGATCTGATCGGCTGATTTCTGCTGCAGAACCTGCCTTGGAACTACTAGTCTGCTTCGACGTCAGGCGCAGTGAAGAATTTCCTCCACCTGTGGGATAAGGACGTTTGGCCAGGAGTCTAGGTTCCATCTCATCAAAGACATTTGCAAACAAGGCACGGCAAGGCATGACAGTAGATTGGGCCATGGACTGGCTGCAATAATTCAGCATCCACTCTAGTTTGGTATAGCAGCTTGCGAGCAAACTATCAGCCGGCCGAGGTGCAGCTTGTGGGGATCCCATCCTTCCCCATCCTCGGCACGCAAGCCCGGCCACCATTCTAGCGTTACGGCTTGCAAACAGATTCCACGGTCGTTTTTGAGTCTCCAGGGAGCCCTCCAAGCAGCTCACTTCAAAGCCAAGCTGCGCATAGGCACTGGGAGGCAGTCGGCAAGGTTTCCAAGGAGTGATCCTAGGCTCATCCTTCTCTCGACTCTTCGTGGAGCATGCGTCGGCCACATGCGGGCAAGGGAACAAAGCACAGACTTGTGACAAGGGGCGGCAGGCTCGGCAACATCTGTCTGGCAAGCCACGCTGACTCGATCATCTCGGTATTCGTCTGGGGAACCTTCGCCAGCTTCTTTTGACCTGACTGGGTGCTGCTTGAGAAAGCAATCGCGAAAACTCTCATTTGCTCAAGCTTTCCAGTTGCTGCGGCATCACTTCTACAAGGCCACCTCCAAACTGAAACTCTTCAGAACTCTGACGTGGTCTGGGCATAAATAGATACAAATCAAGCACAAGCCTATGAATGTGACACTGGCTGCCACCCTCGCTCTTGCTTAGACACACTCGCTTGTACAAGGCTTTTGCGGAAAGCATGTGGCGCGAAAGGTGAGGACATGTGTGGTCCTATGGTAGGTTGTCAAGATTCTGGTCCCTTTCTGGCTACCCTATATACTGGGGGCGTGAGCACAACTGGCTAATGACAGCCGCTCAGGCACAGCAAGAGCGCCCGCGGGTTGTAGAAAACATCATCCACCTATCAGCACGCAGGCGTCCATAGATTCAAGAACACCTCTAGCAGCTCTATCATCAACCATGTTGCATGGCTGCAGCCTGCGTCGCGCTAGTGGCCGTCGGCACAGGCCGCGCAGTTTCGACGGCAGCCTGGCCAGAAAATGACGCATGGCTGGGACACGCCCAAGCAGCTCCAATCAGCTTCTCGGCACATTCGTCGCATTTCGTTGCCTCTCCATCCGTCTGGCACCAGGCATTCACCGTCTCCGTCTGAAAGCACCTCGACCGACGCCCAGGCAAGAAGCGTCTGAAGCACAGAGCACGGTCTCAGGCCCAGGCTCTGCATGCTCTGCACGTTGCGCAGAAAGCTCAGAGATGAGCGCGCGATCGGCCGCACCCTGCGCTTCGGCTGCTTCCAGCTGCCTCCGCAGCTGAAAACACCTGAAGCTCCCGTCCCAGAATCTGACCCTGCTCCTGCACTGATCCTGCTGCAGCTTTAAGTGCTGACATGTATAGCCGAGGGGCTCGTGCTGCTGCTCTAAGAGCTGAGTTTCAAGCGCCCTCAGCGGGAGCGGGACATGTTGAAGGGTATATCTTCTAATTCCGCTGAATCTGTCGGCTCTGGGGCACGTTAATCTGCCGAGACTGGAGGCGTTTGGATCATGGACCCAAAACTTCTCGCCACACCCCCCCCCCACCCTACCCCATCCCAACCCCCTACCCCCTGTGTCTCAGCTTTCCTCTTCGCCTCACTGCCAAAGCGGCGGTAGCGTTTGAACTAGCCAGGTCGAGTATAGCCAATGTAAGTTTGGGATTTCTTTGACGCCCAGCAGCTCGAGATGATCCCGCGCTGCCACACTAACTTGGGCAACATCTGCCCGAAGCGCCCCAGTCGGATCTTCCTCCTGTCGACATCAGCCCGCTAGGAAGGCTGAATTCTTCCACTGGGCAGCATTGTTACAGGCAAGCAGAGGCCGGAGATAGATATCTTCCACATGAAATCGGCCACTCAATGTGTTCAAGCTAGAAGCTATGCAATCTGGTACCTTCGCACTTCGCAAAGTGTAGCCGGCTTATGCTGGAATGTGACAGCCTCTGGTGGCAAGAAATCTCCGGAGGCCAATTCATTTTGAGCTTCCGTGCTACGCCCTGAACATCCCTGAACTCTTCGCACTTCGCTGTGCAATCCTGTTGTAGCCGCCCATCATCTGAATTCGAATAGCTATCCTTTATGGGGGTTCTTGCTCAAAACATGTAAATTTCTTTTCTGGCAAATGTTGACAGCCAAAACCGTGGGGTTGAATGTGCTTCTCAGCACTTTAAAGTTGAACGGACTTTTGTATGGGCTTTCTCTGAAACCTTGCACTTTGGGCGCGATAATCCCTGGTGCCCACTCGTTGTGGACAGAGGTATTCGATCTTCATGCTCGGCCGGCCTGTGCCCAATCGGCAGCGAACTCAGCTTCGATGCTGCTAGGCCTAACGACCACATATGCTGGGCAGAGGTGTGGCACGCCTGACTTTGTGGCAGAATTGTTGGCATTCTTGCTCAGACGTGGGCTCTTGCTGCTCGCCCGTTTCGTCGTCTTCTTCCTGTCCGCGTCTCACTCTCATACGGACAAAGAAACATGTGAATGCAGAAATGGTCAAAATGTTGCGAGGGCCTCCGATAGGCTGAAGCAGCAGGGGCCTCCAAAGCCAAGCTCGCGCATCAGAAGTCGAGTGACCTGAACACCCGGGAGCTTTTATCGTGCAGCCCACCAGCATTTGCTTACCTACTTGATATGCCCGGCCCAGGCCTCTGTGTCGCTGCAGCCATAGGCTTCGCTGTCCTAAGCTTCATGGAGGCAAGGAGCAAGGCGTACTCTCAAAAAGTTATCCGTTTGCACCTTGACGGTGTGCTGCCAGCCAGGAGCGCCCTGACTCAGCCAACACATGGCAGATTTAGGCCCTCGAACAGGGCGCACTATGACTTTCGTATTGTGCTGTAATGCGAATCTTTTGCCAAAATGTTATACGCTGCGCCTGCAAAAGTACTAAAATCTAGCAACCTGTCTGCATTACCGATGAGGCTGCCAAGTTAAACTCCTGTGGACATCAGTACAAGATTTTTTGAAGATGAATTGCAGGTTTACCCGGAGATTACTCAGATGGTGGACGCCAGTGTAGAGATGAAGGGCAACCCAAATTAATGCGGGGACCCCTACTGCAGGAGTCTAGGAAATCGACTTATGCCTGTGGAGCCAGCAGGCTACGGCCGTTGCATGGATACGGGCGGCTTCCACCACAACACTGGGTTGCTGTGAAGGAACTTAAATTAAGTTACCATAATGGGTATATATAGTAAATAACAGGGTTTCCCCAATATAGTAACTTAATTTAAGTTCCTTAACAGCAACCCACAACACTCCCAACAGCGGGGAATGCCCGAATGAAGATGTTCACAGGAGTTGTGGCCATAACAAATAGGGCCAATGACACTGGCTGCAAGGTGTAGGTTTGAGGATTGAAGGCTGACGCTTACCATGATGGCTTATTAGCCCATATTGCGATGACGGCCATAAAAACACTTGTGGCAAGGGGGTCATAGGAATATGAATCGACAGTATGCTGCGTCTTCTTTCCAGCCTATGATGTAGCCATTTTCAGGACCGTTGCTAAAATGCGAAAACGCAACTTCCCTCATGTACGGGAAACTCTTACCCACACAAGCAAGGGTCCCAATGTGCTGTCCCATAGCATGTAGGAGTAGGGCCGAGTAGGTAAGAGACACATCGCATACAGCTTCTGAGATCCCCAATTGCAGACCCGACCTTTTGCAAGCGGATTCCTGCAAGGGACACAGGTGCTACCTCCCTCAAAGAGCCCCAACCTTGGTCAAGGCATGTTCCTTGAATCATACGGAGTATCCTTGTAAACTTCACGGTCCAAAAAGCTATTGATGAGGTTGCGGGCTCTCTGAGCACTGTGAGGAGGCATGGCTGCCAGCTCAGACAAATGCGCGCTGCCAACAAACACCTCAGCTTCGAAGGCTTCGTAGAGAGGTTGGCTATGAGAAAACGCATGTGCGACTCGGCCTTTATTACTGTACCCAAAACCGGTGAATTTCACGCGGTGAACCCCACTATAGGGACTCGTACTATCACCTATGTAGGGAAATCTCCATACCCCTACCACCTGGAGTTGGTTATGGGAGGTGTCCCTATCAAATTGCAATGCTGATGTGATGTTTGGGTGCCTACTTTTGCTGTCATGTGGTTGTCTGCAAGATGCCAGGGTCAGAAAGACTTCACGGGGACATGAAGCAGACCCTACTCCATATTGAGAATGCCTGATGAGCTAAGTTGACTGGGCAAAGAGACCGGGAGTTCGTAGTCGAGATAAGCCTCGTGATCCTGGCTCCTGTATTGAATTTTCTGGGCTTCTAGAGACTCACTGTATCGTACTGTAGCTTGAGATGCTTCAACGTGGGAAACTTAATGGAACGCATAGGAAAGATGCAGGGCGTCCACAGTGCCTGTGCTGCACCACATGCTACCGTGCGTGGACTAAACTCCTGCGTGACCTCGATTGTACTAGAATACCATGTCCGAATGATTCCAAATGTGTTAGCAAGAAAGAAATTTGCAGGATGTTGTTCATGAACAGGGTTCTGCTTTGGAAGCACTTTCAAAGTCACTTTGTAAGTTCCCGATCCCATGTAACAAGATTGCAAGGAAACCTTTTGGTCAGCAACGCAAGCCGCCATCAGATTCAAACAATGAGGCAGGAGATCTGCAAATCAAGACCCCATCCGCCTCCATGGTCTGTGCGACGCACGCAAACATTTCCGCCGCTGGTTGTTACCTCGAAACTATCACCCCATGGATCGTTATTGCGACGGTAGCCTGAATTGGCCGCGTATGCTGCGCACGAAATTGTGCCTGAGGTGACCCAAACGCATTTGGTGTTGTGGTGACTGCTACCGACGTGCACATCTTGGCGGTGCCTTACATTGTCTGCATCACTGTAGCAATTGAACCAGAGGTTCAGGCCCCAGCCTCCATGGAAGTCTGTCCTTTTAGCGCAGACATAACCCCATGAACTATCGACGCTGACATAGAAAGCGTCCCCGCATCCTCTGCAGTCGTCATTGGTGCGAAAGGCTGCGTCGGCTGTGTGTGCATCACAGGTCATTGAATGTGTGACGAGGATGCACTTCAAGTTTGCATCACTGGATCCCATGTGGATATTCTTCACATCAAATCCAAATGGCTGGCCTGTAGGATCACATTCAAGCCTCAGGTCCATACCCCAGCCACCATGGTGGTCTGTTCTGCGTGCACACCATCTGTGCCCACTCTGGTAGACATTAAAACGATCAGAGTTGAAGTCAAATCCTAGGCGAACGCCAGAATCTCCTGCGTCTGAACGGCAATTCACAGGCTCGGATGGCATAGCACATTTTGTATTCACATCACTGGATCCAATTGGAACAATGATCTTCAGGTTGTTGTTGTCTACTGGACAAGCAAGCTCCAAATTCATTCCCCAGCCCCCATGGTGATCATCCCGTTGGATGCAGAGAGATCGAGGGTTGTGAGGGTCCGGACGGTAGATGGTGAAATCATCACCTTGAAGGTTCGGTATCTAAAGTCTGTCCGAAGGTTAAGCAATCTTAGGTTTAAAGGACACGGAAAGGTAAACATACTCACTTCACAGGTAAGCAACCGCAATATCTGCAGTCATCATTGGCCCGGTTGTTTTGATCTCCAGCCCAGGGTTCGCAGTTCACACCCGAGAACGTACGCCCGCAGGTCGATCGCCAAGGCGATGGGCCAATGTATTCAATGGTGACTCCAGCCTTCCAAGGCATAGATCGCTTTTAGTGCCGTAAAGGAATGTTTAGTAGTGGGGTTATATAGGGATAATGGAAAAGAAAATGGAAGCAACCATATTAGTTTAGGGTATTCTGTTCGGGTTTAAGAATATTATTAGGCCCCCAAATTGTCAAACTAGTCCCAAATAGTAACTCCAAAAGCGCAATGCTTCCCGCAGCCTTGTTCATGGCAATCTCGCGGCTGTTGTCATGCTCGTAAAATTCAAAGCCGAGTACCTAGCTGCGTCTTTACATCTGCTGACATGGCAGCGTCTCAAAATCAGCCCCCTTCCCATATGGGGGTTTCTCAAAATTAGGGGTACTTTTTAGGGGTCCCCAATAGTAAGGACTATAGTATTCTGGGGTCTATATTGGGGTCCCCCTATTTTGGTAAACTACCATATACCCTCATAGTCGTTTCATCCCTGTGCTGGTGAGGGATCATGAACACTCATCACTTTGGGACAGGCTATCTTCGCAGACCAGGCCTTGAACCACTTGCCAACCGTGCCCACAAAGGGGATGGACACACCGAGGAGCACTTCCACCTTGAAGTCGACACCGGTCACCCCTCGAGCGGCATAGAATTGTTGCAGGCACACGAACTGGGCTGAAGGTCCCATAGCTGCACAGTGGTTGTCCACCGTCGATGAGAGATCCCCCAAGTTCAAGTTGACACCAATGCTGGCGCGCACACCAATCGGAGGGGGCAGAGGAATCGGAAGGTTTATGGAGAAGTGAAGCTTGTTGATGAAGGGATAATATGCCACTTTCCCCAGAGTTTCGCAAAGGGACCACCCCATCTTGTCTGCAGCCTCGCCAAGCACGCCTCCGATGCACAGCTTCAGCTCCGCAAACAAGTTGAAGGTTGCCAAGACGTCTGCGGTGCTGCCGCATTGAGGGACGTCAGCACCAATGTCCAACCTGAATTGCAGAGGATCTCCTCCGCTGGTACAGCAACAGTACGCGAAAGAGTACGCAGCGATTGCAATGCAGTTGGCGAGGGAGGCTGAGCCAGAGCAGGAACAGCAGATCTAGCAGCAGCGGCAGCAGCAGCAGCAGTAGCAATGGACGTCAGGAGCAGCAATAGCGGTAGCAGTAGCAGTAGCGGCAGGGTTGCAGTAGCAGCAGCTGTAGCAATAGTAGCAATGGCAGTGGCGGTAGCAGCTGATGCTGCAGTAGCAGGAACCATCGGAATGCCAAGTGGAAGTAGAGAATGAGTTTGTACCTGATAACTGCTCCTGGCTTGATGCCCTTGCACGGAGTGCAGTAGCCCTTCACACAGCTGGCCGATTTGTCCATGAGCTGCTTGATGCGTCCTTGGGCAGAGCTCATGTGGCTAAACAAACTTTGTTTCGACTACTTTCATCAAAGATATGCCTGCAGCCGTACGCGACGCGAGATATGCAAGTACTGGCTGGCCAGTGGGGGCATATACATACCTATAAATATGTCTGTTTATGTACGTACCGAGTATGTGCGAATGGCACCCTTGCACGGATGCCTGTTTCTTCGCAATCTAAATGAACATGTCCCAAAGATTACCGCTATATAACTCCTATAGACCAATATATCCCTATATAGCCCGAATATAAGCCTACTATTGCCCTAGTATATTGTCATTGTGGGGGGGGGGGGGGGGGGNNAGCTCTGAAACCATCCCAGGTTCCGAAGAGATCGGGCACGGCGGAGTAAGATTTGCCATCGTAGACGATGCAGTTGTCGCCGTTGACGCACCTACATATGCTGCCAACTACAAATGACTTAGAATGTTGGGGACCATCGCAAAGAAGCCTGTGAATGTAAGAGCTAAAGACTAGAGTATTCTTCAAGAACAGCGAAGGCACAAAGAGCAGGACCACGGGGCAGGAGTACCATCTGGATTCTGGCACGGCCCCAAGCCAATCCCCTTATCCTGGGCTATACTTGGCTTCAGGGTTTGGGCTTCAGGCTTTGGGGTTTCCCTAAACCCTAAAC